AAATATCCCATTTTTATTTATTGCTAAAATTATAATTTTGAACGAGACGTAGAAATATAGATACCTTGAAATCCAATAAATAATATTGTTTTATTGAATTATGAATTAATTAATTATTAATTGAATATTTTTTACATAAATTATTAATATGTCTAGATACTGTCGCTCTAAATGACTACGAAAACAATCGGACCGACTTTATTGTGTGCGTACGCCGCTGGACAGCGACAAAGAAAACGAACGTAGTGGCCAACTGTTGGACCCTTTTACAGTTTTGATTGTCTATCAAGACATCAATAATCTAACAATTTATGTGTGAATTCATTTTCAAACAATATTCTATGTCAAATATTAAAAACAAATCACAGTTCTAAATGAAAACAATAAAATTTTATTAACCTCATTCTACAAGAACGTGGATTCATTTCAATAATAACCACGGGGGTATTTTTTACACACATATTAACCCTGGGCATCTAGCTGTATACTAAATGTTATATTAAGGATCATCCATTAATTACGTAAGCAGTTTTTCCTTCAATCTTGGCCCCACGTGTGAAGTGACATTTTGTGTGCCAAGTGATTTATGTAACAGTAATATAATACAACATTGAGATGTACTAATATTGTTCAAAGACAGAGCCCATTTTGAGCTCACATTAATCGAAAGAAGTTTTAAAAATTCAAAGTAACCATGGTCATTTTCTCGTGACAAGTTATTGCAAACGGTTTTTTTTTCGTCAACAGCAGACGGCTCACCTGATGGTAAGTGACTACCGCCGCCCATGGACATCTGCACTCAAGGGTTACAAGTTGAATCCCTCCTCCCTCGCAAAATTAATGGGAATGGAGGGGGGGGGGGGGGTAATTACTGGCCAATATTTCGACACTGTGTCCAAAAATAAACATGGTTAATATCCCGTTTACAATAACTTATCATGTTTTAAAATGAAGAAATCACTGCATTTAAATTTAAATTTTACAAAAAGAACATATTTTACTTACAACTAATTAAGTACTGCCTTGGAATGTATATGTAACATACATTTATGTTTACGTGGAATGTAACATACATTGATGTATACGTGGAATGTAATATACATTTGTGTATGTGGAATGTTAATTTCTGAGATTTGTACAATACTTTGTTATAAACACAGTGCTCGCTGGAAAAGCTAGGCTACGCTTACTATTACTAGTTTTAGTGGATTTGGTTCCGACACACCGCCCCATTGCAGGCCCCGGTGAGGTGACGGCTCGAAGGTGTCTCCATATGTACCAAAAAGGTCACTAAATCTATAGGCGTTTACCATGTTACTAAGACGGGCAGGGAAGGTAATGATAATAAATATGAAATTAAGAATTAAAATATAAAAAAGACGAGACATTGTCATTGTTTTTTTTGTTTTTTCCACCCTTACAGGTATTATGTCTTCTTCAAACTTGAATTCCAAGCGGAAAGTAACCCCTATCAATAAAAAAAAAAAAAATCCCTTATCGGTAGAGAGAGTTTTGAGGTAAAAAATATTACCAAAAATTCAAACGAGTAAGTTAATAAATCTCCTATTTTGAAGTCGGTTAAAAATTCAAGTTACCAAGTGTACAAATATTGAATAAATAATTTATGTATAACTGCGAGATATTTCTATAGATAGTTCAACTTTCATTCGTGTGGCAGTCGTCGTCCGAGCACCGCGTCACTGCCACACGAATGAAAGTTGTATATTTACAAGCCCACGCACACATAGGGCCGCGCGCACAACTGAGTTGAACTATCTATAATCACTTACTTGGATTGGTGATGATGACGTAAGTGATTATTCTATTCGAATAAAGCTTCTGCATACCCCCCATTGCGATCCATGCTTGCATATGCATTGTGTTAACAACCAAAGTATTAAACAAGAACTGTTTATCCCCAAAACTAATTTAATAAAAATAATAATATACATCAATGTTTATGTAGTTATGGCCTTGTGGTATACAAATTAATAATTTCATTCATTACTGAGTATTACACTTACATAATTTCATAAACAATACAAATTTATAATTAGAAAAATAATAATTATAACCTAAAAAATAAAGCTGCAAAAATACTAAAAATAATAGTAAAATAACGTAATTTATTACAATAAAAAAAAACTATTATGTACTAAAATAATAACTAAAGTAGCTACCACCACTTTTAAAATTGTATAAAAAAATATTATCTTATAAAAATAACAAACAAAATCAATTCCATTAAATATTAATAATAATTGTCAGAATAGTTGAGCTCAGTGTAGAGATTATCTTTTTACTATTTAGTTAAATTAACTAACAGTTAACCAAAATAAATATTTGGCAGATTTTATTTATGTACCGCATTACCTTTTAATACGTATCAATAACGAAATTGAGATTTTAATTTAATAAGTTATAACTGTTATATTAGTTATGTAACAGTTATATAACATTAAACTCCAGTGACTATAATTCACTTAAATATATTGAAGTGGATAAATGGACTTACTTATTCAAAAAGGAACCAAATCACACACAAGTTTTAAATTGAGTTAAGTATACAGAGGCTTTCAAAATATACCTTCTGTCGGTTCTGTAAAGATCAAGAGATTTTATATATGGTCGCAAACAAGCAGACGGGTCACCTGATGGTAAGTGGCTGCCGCCGCACATGGACAAATGCAAGTCAAGAGTCACAAGTGAGTCTCAGAATCAGGGGGGGGAGTGTGCTGTTCTCCGGTGACCTTACTCAGTCGGTGTAAAACACCAAAAAAAATACTCTACTCCGTTATAGCATGGCTCTCCGACGGTCTGACAATTTTGCTATTTTTCTACTGATGTATGACTAGCCCAGACACACCCCACGACCCCGGCCTCGGCAGTCATTATAACTAACCACTAAACCAACAGGCCAGTTAATTCTGTGTGATCGTTCCGTTTTACAAGAGCAGGTCTAAATGTGTTGTCCATTTATTTAAATTCCACATTTTGTAATAAATTATAATAGTGATATGTAAATTCTATCGACTTAGTTTCATTTTGTGATGTTTTGTGTAGATTTATCTACAATCAGTGACAGTAACAGTGTTTTCTGCAAAACAAATAATTTGTATTTGAAGCCAAAGGATATTTTAATGAACATTAAAAGTTGTATATAAGTTGCTTTTTCATATGTCAATGTTAAAAATTGGTAACAGGCTATAATCCATAATTCCATATTTATATTATAAAATTGAAAGTGAGTTTTTGAGACCACTGAACCGATTTTAAAAAGACGTGTGGAACTCGGGGACTGCCGCGGTAAAGCTATTGCATAGCATTTTGTATCAACTTATGCAGTTATAATTATTTATTTATTTTATTTATGCAGTATTTCTTTTTCTTTGATATTAATTCAAGTTACACTTTTTGAGCGTGGTGACCGATAAGAAAACAATTTTTTTTCTTTTATTAAATAAAAAATTGAAGCATATATTACAATTTGTTTTTAAATAAATAAATAAAAAATATTATTATTAAATCAAATTACATATTCATGTAAGATTTTTCTGCATTATGTTGTCGAAATTTCCTTTAATTTTGGTACTGTTTTTTGTTTTGTTTTTAGCGTGAGGTTTTTTTTCGTTACGGAATTTCTGGATTCGGTCCCCGCGCTTAAGGCCCTCGATAGAAGCTATGCAATAGCTTAAAAATTCTTTCACCAATGGAAATCTACATTATCAGCGAGTAACATAGGCTACTTTTTACCGAGATAACCGACATACACGCGGGCGGAGCCGCGGGCAAATGCTTGTGTAATATATAGGTCAAATTTCGACCGTTCAGAATGTCTTGTTTCATTGACCAGTATAACTTGAGCTGTCATTGTTTAGAATTTTGTACCATGACAGGTCAAAATATACTGGACCCTTATAGTTTCATCTAGCTGTTTTTAAATAATTTCCAACTTAAGAGCACATATTGTTTAAACATTTCAGCTTCTTTTAATAATACATGTTTCAGCAATCTAACACAACGCCATCTAGTTTCAAACTAAGCAGAACTTGTACCATGAAAGCTAGATTGACCGACTTAAAAACCCTTTTTATGTAAATACATCCATATTATACATAGAAAACACCCAAACTCCGAAACAAATATTTGCCAATCATACAAACATTTGATCCGACCCGGGAATCGAACCCAAGACCTCAGCACAGCAGTCGCATACACTACCAACTACACCACCGAGGCAGTCTTTGTGCACTTTTTCTACATATAAACATTTTAGTATTTAAAACATGATGTTACCGTGTGCCATGGGGTTACAAAGAATTGTTTTTAGGTATTTATTTATGTATATATATATAGAAGATACTAGGACGGATAATTACATAATTGCACTTACGGAATGTGTATTATCTAATAGATATGTTTTATTTTATATTTATATTATAACATTATTAAAATACTTAATAATAGACATTAATAATATCGTCGTCACCGTACTAATAGATGTTTTCTTTTAAACAAGAATAATAAAGAAAGAAAATTTTAATTCTGAAACATACTTTGCTAACAGAATATATAAATTACACTAATATTACATAGAGGAATGATTTGTATGTTTGTAGCCTATAAACTCTTAAATGACTAAACCGATTTGATTAATACTTTGACTATTAGATAGCTACTTTATCGAGAAGTGACGTAGGCTATCAGTTATTTTAGTAATATGTATAGGAAATTGGGAAAAGCCGTAACACAGATGATATTATATTTCAACATTTTTTGACAAAATGTTGTCTTTTCATTTACATAATTATAAGTATTCAAAATGGCGCTTACAGGGAATGCGCCATTTTGAATACTTTTTACTTCCACTTATTTATTTATTGTTATAAATATAACGCTGTGTAATTATAATTTTCGGTATAAATAATTTATTAAGGTAATAATAATATATTAGTTCGGTGACTGTTATTTATAAATACAACTATTATTTATTAATATCATTAATTGCGACAATCTCTGTGTATACGAATGTTATATTCTATAAATGGGGTTTTTGGTTCCATTAATGTGCAGATGTCCTGTAACAATAGAAAAATAATTTTAATCTTTTTTCTGAAAGAACGCCAGTACTAGGAGTATATCCTGTGTCACGTGAATATATCCTGACTTTACAGACGTAAATGAAACGGACACGAAGAACACCCAGACTCAGAACAACAATTTGTGGATCACACAAAGTGTTGTCCGTTGCGGGGATCGAATCCACGATACTCAGCGCAGTAGAAAGCGGCAAGGTGACCGCTTAACCCACTACGCCATCCGTGCAGTCAATTGAATTATAGGCAGCCTTTTTTGTGTGGTGACGGATTAAGAATACAGAGTTCCACCACCCCTATTCACCCCGTAGGTGTCGTAAGAGCCGACTAAGGGACCAAACTACGCAGGACAACAGCACTGCGAAGGGAAGGAAAACTTAAAACAAATCCTATACCATCCTGTCTGGCCAGCGTGGTATAGTAAGCCAAAACCTCCTTTCTAAGGAGAGGCCTATGTCCAGCAGAATGTCAATGGCAGTTAAAAAAAACCATTTCAATTGTAAATGTATCGTCCGAATGGCTAATAACAACAAGATAAAGAATATAGTATTGTAAGTATAGAACTCTGACTCAGTCACATCCGATTGACACAATTCTACAATAAGGCGAGCGAAACCGTGTTCAGAAGATTGTTAACCATACCTTTCTGAAGGGCTTGAAGCTGGCCCTCACCCTGTACATCTTGTCCACGTTACACTCCAGGTTGATTTTGATGGTCCACACGTTGTCGATGAGCGCCGCCTTGGACGGGTCCCGGCTCGACTGGCAAGAGTTACCGGCGTCGAAGTTGCATTGGTGGCAGAGGCGAAACTCTTGGAGCTTCGATGAGCTGCGAAGAAAATAAACCTGCTTTACCACATGTATATATCCCCCTAAGGAGATGTGAAAAGTATTTTCAATAGGAGGTATGTCATTCGTGCACTATCCGAGCATAGATATGATGCGTGCATATCACTGCACTTGTGTTCGTTTTGTTGTTTTTAAATGTTCGTCTAGTCTGTTTTAAAAAATGTTCACTGATCCAGCGCTAATTATACTATCCGGTAAACTATTCCAAATGGTCACCACTCGATTTGGTAGTCTTCTAGAGTTGCTAAACGACGGATACCTGGTAAGCTTCAATGAGTGTCCTCTCAATTAGGTATTTGAATTTATAGTATAGAGGTTTCCGATGTTTTTCACATTGTAGTATTTTAAGTGTTTCAATTAGATCTCCCCGTTGCCTGCGCTGTTCATTCCCCTCTTCCTACTGAGAAAACACTTTCTCTCCTATCGAGGAGAGGTTCTGATCTGATTACTTCACCTACGCGTTCCCCTTGAAATGGTTTTGGAAAGCTATGGCATAATCGCAAGACGAGATACACTTTTAATCAAACAATCCCAAGCAATATCGAGAACCCACTCATAACAGAAACGTTTGGCTTACTCAGAAATGTTAACTCAGAAGTGTAGTGTGACTCACACTATCTGTCTATATAAATAAAAATGAATCGCCAAATGTGTTGCTATGCGCAAACTCGGGAACGGCTCGACCAATGTGACAAATTTTTGTTTTTTTTATATTTTCGTTAAGGCACAAGAAAGGTTTTTATGGAGAGAACGTAAACATACTGAGGAAAATACTAAAACACAACACAAAAACAAACAACACTTTTCATTTCTCATATAAACTAAAGGGTACATGTAAATACCATTTAATGCCAATCAAAACAATATAAAGGCGCTTTATAACACCTAACAGAACGAAGTCAGTCTGACAACTAGTTAATATTTTTTGAAAAAGAATAGAAACAATTCCTTAATTAACTGTGTTTTTATGTGGACGTCAAGCTAATTTCAATTTAATTGCCACAAACATAAGAGTACTATTCGTTTAACCGTTGTTAGTAAGTGAGACTTCTGTCACGGTATAATTATAATACAGTACTCCAACTTCATACAAACGGACGAAACGCGAGCTATACCTACGCGCCTCGATCTCGGGGTGCGCTCGGGGCGCAGACAGTCACGGCTGTACCGCTGTGTCGAACGGACGGTGTGTTGTTTATTTTAACAATAACCGAACGATTTTTTCTCTAAAAATCAGTTAGTATGACGAGTAGGAAATATTGTGCTGTTTTTGGTTGTATGAATTCGTCAATAACACATCCAGACATAAGTTTTTTTAAATTACCTGGATACTCTGAAAGGTAAGACTATAAAATAATTTTACTTACTAGTAGGTAGGTACATAATGAGTGTCTTTTTAATGAATAAGTATTTCCTTTTATCACCACGAAAAAAAAGGTTTTTGGATTAATAAATAAAGCGAATAGAGTAACGGAATGAAATAGCGCGCCCGGTACCTACCGTATTCAGAACCGCATATAACTACTTATATGCGGTTCTGAATACGGTAGGTACCGGGCGCGGTGACCGAATCAAGAAATTCGCAGATTTTTTTTCTTTAAAAAGAATAATGTTATGCAATAGCTTTACCGCGGCAGTCTCCGAGAGTGCCACATGTATTTTTTTTTCAGACGTCTTCAATGGTTGCAACTGATCCGGCGAGATGATTTGGAAAACAAACCTAACTTTAGTTCCTACCAAGTTTGTGAAAAACATTTTAATTTGGAGGATGTATTACATTCATCAAATAGAAAACTTTTAAAAAAGAATGCCCTATCATTGTTGATGCTGCCAAGCTTAGCTAGTACTGATCCAGGAGTCTCTCTAAAAGAAGATAAACAAACCCAAACTGCTCCGTTGGTAGGAAATGAAAATAGTACACAGACTGAAAATGCAACAAATGAAATCTTTGCTCAAACCTCAACGAGTCTCTCTAGCAACACTCCAAGAAAAAGAAAATTGAAACTTGAACTCCTCCAATGCAGAAAGAAAATAAAATAATTAAATCTACCAATCAAAAAACAACACGCAATTTTATTGAACACTTCCTATTCAATATACAAAGTATTTCATTTATTTATATAAAAAGGATATTTACAATCACAAATCTAAATAGAAACAGAAAGTAGGCAAATATAATTAAAATGCTGGAGACGGGCAGCCCTAACGCATGTTTACGTACCGCGCGGCTGTAGGCATTTATTTCTATCATGCGGCCGAGTTACACTACTGTATTATAATAGTACCGTGCTTCTGTACGCAATTCCCAAAAACTTACCTGAACGTCAAGTGCAGTTGTTTGTGTGTGAGACATAAGGAAAGTGGCACTTCATAGCTGAAGTTGAAGACTTTGTAGTCGCAGACCACGTCGCTGAACAGCGAAGAATTGAGGATAGGCTTGCTCACCGACTGGATACCCACGCGGACTGATTCACACTCTGAAACCAAGCGACAGTTTTAAATATCATAATAATTCAGCGGGAGACTTCAGCACATATGGACTGGCTCTGCTGGAGTGGCACCACGTCCTCACAGTAAATCGAAGTAAAGTTTTTCTTTCTTCGGTTTTTACCGAGTGACGCTTTAGGAGGCCCAATACCAAGATCCTAAGGCCTCCAATTCCAAGGGAGGGGGGGAGGGGGAAAGGATCACTCGAAGGTTGGCAACTCACTTGTGCCCCTTCAGTTTCAGGTGTGGAGCGGCGTTGATCACTTCCCACTGACCCATTGCTCATTTGTCCCTTTTCCATTAAAAATTATGGTAAACCAATCAGTGCCCAACATTGCAATCGAATACCACATAAGTCTAAAAGAACTCACCCTCAATCTCATGCTGTTGTTCTTCCGAACTCTTCTCGTCCCTCTTCTTCCTTTTAACCTCTCTCTTCATTCGACTCCCATTCTCCGTCACATTGGATTTATTGTCCAGGAAATTATTTTCCGGCATATTGTCATCAATTTTGAAAGAGTCATTTTCATTCCTATACGTTTCAGCGTCCGTTTTCACGGACTCTGTGTGATTCTTCTCTGGTATGACTGGTATATTAGGTAATTTGTTGTGTTGGTTATGTTGCAAGATATTGGGTGAATTGGGGGTCTCCAGGGGTCCCGTGTAGGTGTCATTAAGCTCCTTATCAGGTTTTGAATGGTCGTCTGGGTTATCGTAGGTTTGTGGTGGATCAATGCACGGGGACTGTGAAATAAAAACATATATTTTACAGGGATGTTTTTGTCAAAATATTCTGGAGAATTCTGGATGATACAAAGAAACGGAAGGAGACTAGGTGAAAGAAGAAATGGGGAGAAGACTTCAAGCTGAGGTTTGTTTTTAGATGCGAACATCACATCAACAGCCTTTAATAGTCCACTGCTGGACATAGGGCTCTCCTTCTAAAGGAAGTTTTGACCTACTATACCACGCTGGCTAGACGGGTTGGCACAGAGTTTGTTTAAAGTTTTCCTTCTCTTTGCGGTGCTGTAAGAAGCGGCAAGGTATACGCTTAACCCACTACGAAATCCGCGCAGTCAATTATAAAATCCTTATGATTTAATCTTACCAAAATATCTAAGATCCAAGCTGTTATCCTTGCAATATCCTCCTTCATAGCAGCATGTATAATACAATTAGAATTATTACACCATTTATATTAAAAACTAAGTAAAAAACCTATATTTAAAAAAAACCGGTCAGGTACGAGTCGAACTCGTACGCCGAGGGTTCCGTACCTACCCAGATTTTACGTAGATTTTAGCAAAAATGTATCTTAATTTTCAACTTTTTTTATTTTTTGGAATTATTCCTTTATTTGTGCTGTAAGACGTTTCTTTTTGACAGATTTCGTGATGTTAGGTCAACGGCAACTACCATTTAGGTTTTCGATCCAAAACCTATAGGATACTTCCGATTGACATAGAATTGTCAATTTTGGTTAAAAGCTAGGTCTTACAGCACAAAGTAAAGAGAAAATTCTAAAAAATAAAAAGAACTGAAAATTAAGGTAAATTTTGGTACATGCCAGTTTTCGCGAAAATCGAAATTTGCCCATATCTTTTTATAGTGATGACTCAGGACCTTGATTTTTATACACCTAATACCTTTTGAGATACGGAACCCTAATTAGCGAGCCTTACATTAGTCGTATATGATGATCTCACCTACCATCAGAAGGACAACTTTAACACATAGTGCGTTCATTGGTAAATTTGCCTGTTACACATTTCCGTCCCTTTTCACGAATACTGTTATAAGACTGACTATTGTTGACATATTATGTGGGTGGGATTAAAAATATCATCGATAATATGAGAGTGTTTAATATGCCTCTATTCCCCTTTGGGGTTATATGCGTGAATGCAAATATGTATGAATGCAATACTTATATTTGAAAAAATCTTACAACCGAAACTTAAATACCTTTTACTGAGAGTACAAACCAATTATTTTGATAGACAAGAAGGGCCTTAAGTGACAATAATAATTTTTATTCACCTGGCATTCCGGATCTAGTTCGTTATTGGTGTTCACCGCGTATGAGGAGCATCCCCCGCCGACCACGTCCGACTTCCTCGAAATGGGACGTTCAGTTTGTACCAGGGTCGGTACTGTGTCTGTGGACAACCATACATTATGACAACAACATTCTAGGAACATATTATACAGAGATGTTTCAGAAATCAGTTGAAACAGAAATATACTACAGCGCCATCTCACGAATACGCACTGAACTACGGAGTAACTACTAATCCTGTATCCCGATATTAATATTTGTCTCGTCGATTAGCATATTTACAAATTACCAACATCAACCGTTGGGCTGCGGCTCGCCAGGCAATGTCACCTCGCCTGGTCGTAGGATCCTCCCTTTGTGTCGGAGGGACATGAAACCCATCCCGCCACAAGAAAATAATGAGCATCGATCAAGCACCGCCCCCTGAGCAATTGGGAATTTGTATATATGCTAATCAGCGAGACAATTGTTAATATCACGATACATGATTAGAAGTAGCTCCGTAGATCGGTATGTCTTCGTTAGATGGCGCTGTAGTATATTTCGGTTTCTTTGTTTGTGAGAGTCGCCACAGACTATAGACACAAAACTAAGCACAGCTTTTACTGTGGATTTTAGACTACGTATAAATACATACTTACATTTTGTTTATATACACACACATAGTATACACAGATCAAAGCATAAAGACATTATTTTTTTATGGTATCCTCTTAAATTCTATCTCAAATTTCCTCAGAATCATGTGGGGGGGGGGGGGGGGGGGGGGAGGTAGTTAGCTCTCTAGTAACTTTACTCATTCGGTGAAAAGCAAGGAAAAAATTATGCAAATACTATACTCACAGCAAGGACTGAACTCGGAGAAGAATATTTCAAACTATCGCCAATAGAAAAAAAGAATTATTGTACTAGCTTGTATCGTGAGAAGTTTCTAGCCCCTCCCACCAGAATCAAGGGGAAGGGGAGGGTTTGATTTTGGTAACTTCACTCGGTGAAAGCAAGGAATTAATTACTAAACACCGGTATTCTGTGAAACCGTGGTATCACTCCGGTCGAGCCTGGCCAATATGTGACGAAGCTTGGCTCTCCCACGAAGTTTATGAAGACAGATTTCTACTTACTTATGAGTCTGCTGGCGTAGTTCTTGTGAGAATGAGTTGTAGTTGAGATGGTGTGCGGAACTTCCGTAGGAGCGGTCGTTATGTACTCCTGGGTGGTTTTGTGATTTCCTTTCTCTGAAACAGCATTATACATAAAGAATCTATATTAAAGTACCCTAAATATTTATGGACAGGTCTTTTAGTCTAGTGGTTGGTGATCCAGAGATCGTGGGTTCCATTCTAGAACAACTAAATGTATTATGAGTACGACTATTAGTTGATGTGAAACAACTAATGCTTACGTGGCGACGCGTAGCCATGCGCAAGTGACTATACGAGTCTCATTATTTCAACAAAATAATTTCAAAATATATTTTTTTATTACAGGTTACATAGTACAGGTTCTGACTGACTGAAGATCAGACAGGTGAATGGATTCAAACCCACAACCTGAAGGCTCTACCGTCGCAAAGGAATATTAAAATTGTTGATAAATACCTTTGACAGATTTTCTAGAAGACGCATGCTGAGACAGTTTTGGATTCTGTAACAAATTTATAATCATCATTATTTATCAGTAGAACCTGAAATCTGTACATTAAACATATTTTTAACTGACTTCAATAAAAATAGGAAGTTCTCATTTAAGTAATATAATTATATATTATTTACTACTTCAGAAATCCGTCATTTATAAAGAGACTAGGCATTGCCCACGGCTTCGCTTTCGTGATTATTTATCATTTGTAATCCTCATTGACTCGGTGGAAGGTATTGAAAGAATATCTAACAGCGGCTTCAGCGATAATATGAACTACTGGTTCGAATTGAAAAATTATTTTAGCCTATTTACTGAGGAAGGCTATCTATATTAATATTATAAATGCGAAAGTCTGTCTGTCTGTTACCTTCTAAACTGCTGAACTGCTTTATATTAAATTTGGTAGAGAGATAGTCCGAGTCCCGTAAAAGGACATAGTGTAGTTACAGATATCATCCTTTAAGGGGGTGAAAAGGGGGATTGAAAGTTTGTATTAGGAATCAATAATCGCTGAACCGATTCAGATGAAATTTGGGATGGAGATACTTTGTTTCTTGAGTTAAGACAGAGGCCACATTTTACCGCGATAACCGACATATACGCGGGCGGACCCGCGGGCAAAAGGTACTAGGCTCTAAAACATCACGCTACCACTAAAAGGAAACCAAGCATCAATGGAAAATGTTGCAAGAACGTGCCAAATTTATTCCTTTTAAGAGACGAAGACGAAGTTGGGTCAGCTAGTAAAATATATCCTATTACCTGTATGTGGTTGAAGTCCTTCGCCTCCCTCGTCCTGTCATACGGTTTGTGGAACCCGTAGTAGTTGACATTCTGTAACCTATTGGCTTCTCTTATCGATATTAACTCCTTGTGCTCTTGGAAATACAGGGCTGACATTACTATCAGGCTGTAAACAAATATGATATTGATCGTTTCTGTCTAACTCTGGAATGACTATACTACGTGACTCGTTAAGGGGGAAAGACTCGGTCTTCAAACCCCCGATTGAAAATATCAATCTTTTTGTAAAAAATGATTTATTTATTTATTTAAAACTTAATGCACATGTTGTATAAAGGCGGACTTATGCCATGAAACATTCTCTCCCAGTCGACCTTCGTCGAGTTCGAGTCTTCAGGTGATGTAGAAATATGAAGCGGTAGGTGCAAAAATAAAATTAAATTTGACATAGTAGAAGTCCAGAAGTATACAGAATATATAAGCACACATACATTATAATGATTTAAACCCATAGATTTAATAGTCATGATTTAATAGTAGTAACTCATGGTCATGAAATACTACATGAAAGCTAGAGGGAGGGAGGCTTGGCAAGTACGGGTGGTCACCGAGGGAGAGGAGGCGGGTAAATAATCTTAAAAAATGGGTAACGTAGTATGATAAATAAAAAATAAATCACTTACCAGACAGCCAGAATAAATATCAATATTGTTATAACAATTTGTAGAAACTTATTAGAAATCAATTCACTGTTCGAGTCTCTATAGTCTTTCCTACAGCAGAAACCCAGCCTGGGGCTGCCATATGAAAAATCGTCATCACTCTTTAACCATAGACAAGTGTCTTTTTTCTTTGTCAGTGTACTATGGCTTTCTTCTTCGTACGATGGCATATGAGACTCTGTATATGCCGGATTCTCGACGCATTCAGCTTTTTCTAATTTTTTGGAGTGGTATCTAACGTCACAGGTTTTGTTTTGATTGTAGAATTTGCCGTATTTTGAATAATTGCTGTGGCAATTTTTGCACTGTTTCCTCGTGTGTTTTGGGGAGTAATGGCTTAGTTTATGGCAACGCTCGTGTTTACGAATATTCCTTGCTATATCACGAATTTGGTCTATGGATATGTTTCCATCGCTGTATAAAGACTTTGAGGAGTTGGAGATTGCTGAGTAGCGAGAATCTGGAAGAGACGATGTTTTAAAAAATAAGAACATAGGAAATGAAATCAAACTTTTCTAAACTAATATGTTCTTCTTTAAACCATAACTTTGGATATGACACTTTGTACGTAAGAAATGTCGAAATTAAGTCGGAGCAAACGAAAATGTCAAAAAGTAACATCTGCTAATTAATACGCATATGCATACTTTAAATTTAATAGGGAATATGCACGTGACACCAAAATGGACAAAATATTTTTATTTGTAATTTTTATTGCTAAAAAAAGATACCCATACAATTATTTTTGAAATTTATTATAATTTAATAGTGAAATTTAATCATCATTAATTGGCTTTTTTAAGATTCCATCGCAAATTTCTAAAACGCAACGCTATTGGTTGAATAAAACGTGACGTCAACCTACACTGTCAAGAGTGTCAACAAGTTGTGTGTATTTGTAATATTTGGTTTCTGGTGATTATTTGTTTCATTTTAAGTTAATAACTAATACGTTTTCAGTGTTAAATTATTAAATTCCCGTGTACAAAGACTCAACACAATGACTGAATATACTTTGTCAGGTGCAGTTTTGATATTATTTGGGCACAAAGAAACGGCACAATATTTATAATAAGTTTTTATTGGCTGTTCCATGGTAATAAGTTAATTTTTATCACTCACTTTTTTAACTTTCACAAACTTTGTGAACTTTACTCCGTTGTTGACATCGAATTCGTCTGAAAGTGTAATCTGACGTCACAAAAAAAGCGCGCCAAAATGGACGTGTTCAAATTGCCCCAAAATGATGGTGATTTTAATAAATTTTTTTTGCTTAACGGTTTATATTTCGGATGTGTTATACTTATTTTTGGTAATGTAATAACTAGTAGAATCGTTTAAAAAAATAAAAAAAATACATGCATATTCTCTATTATATATAATTTAATTAATCATAAAATGCAGTCAAAATAAAATGTCGATTCCAGAGCACTATGCAAAGTCCTTGACCTGTCGCTTATGTAAATGGCAATAGTAGCGGTCCTAAGGTACGTCCTTGCGGCACTCCTTGTGTATTGATTATAAAATTTGGATCTTTCCCTACCTTTTCACTTTCTATGTTTGAAACAACTTTAATTTTTATTTCAGTAAAATATAGACGTATGTGAAATGACTCCTATTTCATAGTTTTTTATTAATTTTGGATCTTCTCAACACAGTCAAACGCTACAGCCGCACACATTTTATATATTTGATACAATTTGACATAACAGTATTTTGTTTAACAGTCTATACCACGGTCAATACTTCTCAAACGCTTAATTCTTTATATCACACTATGTTTGACTCTTCTACAAACTCACCATTGCTGACAGAAGACCTGGAGCTATCCCGTCTCTGCAATATACTGATTTTATACAGTTTCTTGTTGATCCTCTCCAACTGGTCTATCCTGGACTCCAAGTTTCCCGTCACTTTCGACAGTTCTTTCACAGCACCGATACCCTCCATGTAAATGCGATCCTGTATTTGATTAAAAGAAATAAACATCTTGAAAGTTTGTAAGACCATAGTCGGTGGGAGTCTTGCAAAACATAAATGAGTGACGACTTCGGACGGTATTTCATCATCAACAGCATTTAATAGTTCACTGCTTTTTCGGTACATATTTCATGGAAACGTGGGTATAAGTATAGTTGAACAATTTTTATTTCATATATGTTAGGTTTTATAGATATAGATCTATTTAAGGTTGCCAACATTATTTAACAATATGAACTTTATAAGCGGTCAAGGTATAAAGGAGTCCGTGTGGTGACGGATTAAGAATACAAATTGTCACCACCCCAATTCATCCCGTGGGTGTCGTAAGAGCCGACTGAGGGAGCAAACTACGCAGGACAACAGCACTGCAGAGAGAAGGAAAACTTGAAACAAACCCTATACCAACCCGTCTGGCCAGCGTGGTATATTAGGCCAAAACCTCCTTTCTAAGGAGGGGCCTATGTTCAGCAGTGGACTAGTATAGGCTGTTGATGATGATGTGATAAAAGGTATACTAATGTTTATAAAATGTATAATAGTTAGTCTTAAACAGAGCTATTGATTTTGATATGTATTAGCTATTGCCCGCGGTTTCGTTTGCGTTTATTATTTCGTATTTTTAAATTTGAAAATAACGTACTTCCATACAACCGTTCATTGCTAATTTTACCTCTCAAGGATGAAATTGCCAACAGTCCTGTGTGAATTTTTTGCAAATGAAGATTTTTTTGTTGTAAGCACCCACTAGCTTACAACAAAAAAATCTTCATTTGCAAAAAATTCAAGTGTAGCCCCAGCGGTTTAGGCTCAGCGTCGGTGAGTCAGTCAGTCAATTTTATGTGTATGGATGAATAAATTCAAACAATTTACCTTATTAACGACAAGGAACTTAGAAATGGTGTCTCCATTAGGGAGAGTGACGTCCCCCGCCTCCTTGACGGCCTCGGGCAGCACGCGCCGCACCTCCTGGGCGATGATGCCCGTGTCGAGGGGGGGGGCGGGCCGCGCGGGGTCGTAGCCCAGCAGCCCCGAGTGCTCCGCGAACGAGGGGTCGTAGTTGAACCTTTATATAAAAAGACAACTCCCGCATCAGAAATATATCCTGTTTCGCGGGTGGCTTTTACAAACACAAAGTGTCGTCCCATGTGGGGATCGAACCTACAACATTCAGCGTAGAAACAATAACGTTTAGCCTTGCTTGATACAAGTGTATCGAGCAAGGCCATCCGCTTCGCCGAGCACTGGCCCAAAACCACGTAAAGTGTTGCCATCAACACAAGAGAAAGAAGAACAAATGAGAAGGGGATTAAATTAATTGTTGTCAACATTTTGGGTCCTTCCGCTAGAACTTGCGGAGGGAGGAGGGAGGGGAGGTTTGTTGTTCCGTTAATCTCACTAACTTTCTGTGAAGGCGATACCACTCCAGTCGAGTCGTTTCATGCAGAGAAATGTAATTGATCAACTGTCACTGTTAGCTACTCTTTAAATGAATCAATAATCGATTCAGTTTTTGATAAACTAAATGTCTTTACTAAATTTGTTAAAAAATATCACACCAGTAACAAATTTCAATACCATATTTTTTTGTATTTATAGCTAAATATTAAATATTCGAATAATAATAATGTTCTGACAATACTTTGAAACACAACGCCATCTAGTTTCAATCTAAGCAGAGCTAGTAGTATGAAAGCTAGATGGACTGATGAAATACTTATATACTTTTTGTAAATACATATATAATATACATAGAAAACACCCGAAATCCGTTAAAACTATGTATATACAAAATGATATAATGAATTATTTGATAATAAAAGACTGACTTGACAACCCTGATGCTCTGCACGTTGCGGAGCTGCTGCGCCGTGTCGAGCTCGGCGATGTTGTGCTTGGCGCGCACGTCCGACGGGTGCAGGATGTGGCCCATCACCTTCAGGTTACCTGACACATTGCATATACTCTATAACCATCTATTTTTGTATAAAACTAGCAGTACCCTGCTACGAGAAATAAGGAACGAGAAGGGCGTGCGCGCTTCGCAACGCGCTTGCCGCCACCCCGGCCTGCTTCTGCTGCCTCACCTGTCACCACCAGGCATGCGCTTATGGAGGACGGAGGTCGTTCTGTTCTGTTATACCCCTAGGGACTAAATTTTGCAAAACATCGATGCAAGTTTTTGTTTATTTGTAGTCAAAAGTATACGGAATTTTGTATTGCTAACTTTGAAAAGGACGAATTTACCACTGTTCATCCCTTATTTTACCCCCTTAGTGATGAAATTTCCAAAAATCCTTTCTTAGTGCTTACTTACAACATAAAAAGCATCAGCTGCTATAATTTCAAGTTTGCAGCCCCAGCGAATAAGGGTCTGCGTTGATGAATCAGTCAATCAAAGGAAGTAATTTTATATGTATAGATAACATAGATAACACCTAGACACAAAAGCAATGATCCTGCTCATCACACAATTTATTTCTAGAAGATGCTTAACTAGTTTAAGGCCCCGGGTGGATGATCACTTCATACCTTGACAGAGGACCCCGTTCGGATCCAAAATTACTGGTTTTTTAGACAACTCCTGTACCAGGATTATATCCGGGGGACTTTACAAACATACATGAAACGGACACAAAGAACACCCAGACTCAGAACAACAATTTGTGGATCACACAAAGTGTCGTCCCATGTGGGGATCGGACCCACAACACTCAGTGCAGTAGTAAGAGGTGAGGTGACCGCTTAAACTACTACGCCATTCGAGGTTACGCCAAGGATAGATGGATGGCAACTTACCATTAACAACACAACATTCATCAGGTCTGTCAGTGTTAATGCCGACTCTCCCATTGAAGTGCACGCTGTTCTCCGACACCCCTCGCTGCCACCAGCTCTCCGTGCAGTCCGATTCGAACTGGCCGGGATTTGATGCCTGTGTTAAACAATTTTCTAAATTAGTTATTATCGTTTGAAGTAATTATGGCTGATGATAATGATGAAACAGCAGCAAGGAAATGATACTCTTTTGCGGATTTTTTATTAATTTTTTTTGTCAGTTTTGTATCGTATTTCTCATCAATGCAGCCACAATGTGAAACAGCGAAGCGTGGCAGGGGACCGCTAGTTATGAAATGAAGAACAAAACAGACACAAAAAACTTTTCTTTACATAATATATATGTAGAATATTTTTTTGTAAGTTAACCTAATAATACCACCATACAACACCTACCGACTATTCGTTTTTTCAAAATTAAGACAACTTTTTAGTGGGTAAAAAATTCAATTCCCGAGAGGCAGCACAAAATGCATTTGAAGAGTTTGTTGCCTTGAGCAAACTTGAGCTGATTTTTACAAGAAGGGCATCAATAAACTGCCAATGCGTTGGCAAATTGAACTGCCAATGCGTTGGTGATTACTTCGAATAACAGAAATAAAAAAGTTTGAAAAAATAAATAATTTCACTTATTGCATACAAAACGGCAATTTCATAGGTAAAGACCTAATAGATATAGAAAAGTCAGGCAATTAAAAGGTATGCCCATGAATTGCTGATGTTTCGACTAGTTTGTACTTTGGTCAGCTTTGTCCTATCTATCGCCTTCATCACTGTATGCAAAATTCATCACTGCAATACATCATCTGCCAAAATTTTAAGTGTAGCTCCAGCGGTTTAAGGTCTGCGTTGATTAATCAGTCAAGGCAAGTAATTTTATATGAACAGATAAGTCCAGTGGAGGACGGTTGTATTTGTAAAGAAGGTATGAGCTGACGTATAGAGCAGGGAAGTTTTGGTGGTGTTACCCTAACGATGATTCTATCGCTGGCGCTGGCTGCAACGATCAGGTGTTGGTGCGGGAGGTGAGCCTTCAGCGCCACCACCAGCTGGAAGTGGCGCTGGTCGGGGTTAGGGCGACCCTTCTTGCGCATGTTGTTGTTGGTAGTCTCCGCGAAGTGAAGCCTTCCAACCGTCACCTTCGCACCCTCGCGACGGAGTTCCACCCTGGAACCAGTAGAACGATTAAGCTTCTCTCAAAAAACAAAATAAAAACGGTGTTCCGTGAAGGTATCACTATGATATCACTGCAGTCGAACGGTACTTGTTCGGTCCACTCCAGTATGCTAAAGATTGCTAATAATTTTGACCAAAGTAAGATGATATAATAGAAGATACTTACGGTACAGGATGAAATGGTTTCTTTGTTCTATCAGATTGACTTTGTTCAATTCTTACTTCTTGACTCGGGTCTTCGGCCTGTAACAATATAGATATAACCGTTTAACTCAATAAGAAATTTTAAGCAATTTTCTGATAATCAAGACTGGTTCTAGTATCTCGAATAATCTCACGAAATATCAAGAAAATTCGAGAAAGAAAGAGAGAGCTTATTTAACCGCGCAATTCCAGGAATAGTTCTAATAATGCAGGGTTTCACGGAACAATGATACAATATGCATTAGATCAAAAATACATTGTTGCGCGATTATCTTGTTTACATATGAAACGTGTTTTTATTTCTCTTAAAAAGAAAGTTCTCATAAGGATCAGAATTTACTAGAATGAACCTTGTAGTGGACTAACGAGTCGTATAAATACAGGCACGTCTTCGCCGGTCAGTTGAGTTCAGTTTGCTTTTCACTTTCTTATTGTCTTTTTTTCTAGGCCGTCTGATTCGCAACTAGGCAGAGCCTGTGCCATGATCACCAGACTGCTGATAAACATACTTATATATTTTTAAATACATACATATCATAGATAAATTAAACCTAGACACTGAGAAAATGATTGTGCTTATGACACAATTATTTATCCTGAGTGGGAAATGAACCCACGACCTTTGGCTTAACAGTCAAGATCACTAACCATCTATATATATAAGACTATTCTCAACCACTCCTTAGATTTAAGGTTTCCGAGACATACGATCATAACTTACCTTAACTCCATAAAAATGTAGACAGAAATTGTTGATCTTCTTAAACCCTTCGCTGGTCTTCAGATACTGAGGGTCCCCCTGCATGTGGATCTGACAGGTCACCTGGAAGTGATTCTTCTTCTGGCAGACGAATGCCTCGTCTATTTGTGAGTAGTTGAACCCTTTGTCGGCGCCTACTACGTACGACGGGGGTTGGCTGTAATGGAGGTGAATATAAGAGATGTTTTTTAAGACCCTTGTGAATTAAGAAGTGGGGCACAGTACACTATCTGGAGTGGTGTACCTTTCGTATATTTTTGGTGGGGTTACGAGATCACCATTATGGTCTTTTACCACTAAACAATGACTCCGTAGGGCATTACTGATGGAACCATTGCAGTGACCGTATTGGTCGTGTAGTTTATAAGTACCGACTTCCTTGATGGTAAGCATTATCCGATAGGAAGCCGTTTGCTTGCTTGACAACTAGATGGTATAAAGGAAGGAATTTTGTTTCGAAGGTGCTGGAATACTAAACCTGAAATGAATCACCCATCAACAGTCGTTAATAGTCGACTACTGGACATAGGCCTCTCCTTAGAAAGAAGGGTTATTTTGAACCTAATGATTTAAAGTAAGTTATGTAAAAATCTTAAAGAACAACATAGTTTGAAGTACTTACAGCGGCTTCAAATTACAATCATATAAACTGTGCCACAGATTTTGCTGGAATGTTGAGAACCTGATGCATTGCATCGGCGCGTCATCACCCGCCTCGGAGCCGTCCACTGAGGGGGGCGCTGCGCGAGGGACATGCGAGCTTTCCGGAGATAAGGCGGCTGAGGAAAATTACACTTGGTTAACATAATCGAAAAAACTTTTACTAGTTTTATTAGTCTTTTATATAAACCTTATTCGTAAGTATAATTATATTGGAACGAAGTTCCCTATCCCGCGTTACACTCTCTGAGCGGAGCGAGACCAAAAATGTATAACACTTTTATATTTTTTGTTATTTATATATATTAAAAAATATACGCAATTTTATATCCTTAACGCCCTTGTTTAAGAAAGTCGTTAATTTCGTTATGTATGTATGTATTTCTACAGCTTTCTAATATTATAGTATAGATTCCCATTCGCTTATATTCTAAAGTGCCCATTCAACAATAGGTTTGCCTCCTTAATCCATACTTATTATATTATAAACTAGCTGAGACCCGCGGTGTTACCCGCGTTTGTTGTTATAACCGTCTAGTCTAAAAAAAGTAGCCTAAGTTACTCCTTATGTCATCAGCTATCTGCCAGTGAAAGTCCCGTCGAAATCGGTCCAGCCATTCCAGAGATTACTCGGAACAAACAGACAGACCGACAGACAGACAAAAATTGGAAAAGATGATATTTTGGCATATGTACTGTGTACACATACATATGCATTTAGTAAAAAGCGGTTATTTTAATATTACAAACAGACACTCCAATTTTATTTATTTGTATAGATGTAAAAGTGGGTTTGTTTGTTAGCTTTCACTCCTAAATTAATAAACCGATTTGAAAAATAATTTCAATGGAAAGCTACATTATCGGACGGAGCCGCAGATAATAGCTAGTATTCTATAATTTCAGTCCGACTTACTAAATCATAAGTGGGACTAAAATAATAGTTAACAAAATCTACGCATCTATTTACAACATTGGGACGTGAGATTACTTGTATATATGTATGTATTTCTGAAGGTACTTACCAGGCTCACACTTGACCTGCGAGGCATCCTGCTCGTGTTTCCGTTTCTTCGTGTTTGGTTCCTGCAGACTGGTGTACACTGGAGTGAGACTTTCGTGACCTAACGCGACCAACTGTGGCGTCATCAGCCCTTGTTCTATCTCCGGCATATCCACCCTCATCTGATTATACCTAAAGAAAGTTAAAGTATATTATTACTTGTTCGATTCCATTCTAACTCGAAGCTTAGAAAAGTTACTTAGGGTCCAAAAAGTATAGGGACAGGTTAAAAAAGTGAGTTACAATTTTAATCCAGATTTCTTTTTATGATATAGGGGGTCATCTGCTGGTAAAGTGACTCCAACCGTCTATGTACACATGCAACACAACTGCAAAGAGATATAAGTTACCATCCTTCGAGTGGCCTACCCGTAGCATGCTTTGAGAGGAGGGTTTGGGCTTTTAGAACTTCAATTATTCTGGGAAAAGCAATGATAGATATGCTTTACACCAGTTTTCTGCGAGGCCGTAGTATCACTCTGGTCGAGTCCGCCCATACATGCCAAAGTATCGCTATCCCACGGCATTTATTAAAGGTGGATGAAGAAGTCGCAATATTCTTTCTAGAAGGCTTTAGAAAGTGAATATGTTTACGAGTAGAAGTAGACTTCAATATCATTAGATGATGATGAGGTGATGACAAGATAGATGATGTATTTCTGTACGTGAGCCTGAGATTTAGCCTCACTCTGTAAAAACGCACATACACTACAGTGTGTGTGTGTTACAGAGAATGCTTTTACGTCGTCATGCCTGACGGAATATGGCCATGAGATGTGCATTTAAATATCAACATCAACAGCTTTTAACAGTTCACTGCTGGACATGGGCCTCTTTTTAGAAAGGAGGTTTTGACCTACTACTCGTACTTATACCACGCTGGCCAGATGGTTTGGAATAGGGTTTACGACAAGTTTTCCTTCTTTATGCAGTGCTGTTGTCCTAGTTTGCTTCCTTAGTCGGCTCTTACCACACTAACGGGATGAACAGGGGTGGTCACATTCCGTATTCTTAATCTGTTACCAGATGGATATTTAAAGAGCATACGTAGTAGCGTAGCGTTAAATATCTAGCTAGTTAAAAACAAGCTGTCTGCTGCCTATTTTCTTACTTTGAACTTTAAAGTAAATAAATATAGAAGACAAAAACGAAGAACTATTACAATTACCTATTCTGGTACACATCTCCAAGTCCCAAATCATGCCTGACCGTTCTGATCCCCAACTCAACAATACTAGGATCTTGAGGTAGTACCACCACATCATTGAGGTTACTCCTCAAAACCTCAGGATCTATATTATCCGTCTTCAACTCCTCGTAGATATATTCGCCATTTTGTTGGAGTATCTCGTGGGTGGGAATGTGATCTTGTACCAGCATGTAGTTTGCGCCCAGGACTGTTTGAGGTACAGCGATCGCATGGGCTTGCGTTTCGGATGGACTGTATGGGTTCTCCGAGCCTGAGTCTGGTGGACTTTCTGGGAGTTGATGGCCCCTGAAATCAATTAAAAAACCATATTGTTTTCTTAAACAATAGCACTTAACGGGATGTAATCTAATTGTTATTATTATTATCACGCCTACCCACACTTAATGGTAATCTTATTTTCATCAGCTTATGTGAGATTTAAATGTAGTGGTACCAAGCTACTTAGTATGACAGTTGACAATTTTAGAACCTCAATTGAGTATTTTATGACCAAAATGTAAAAAATGTAAGACATGGAAATCGACACCAAGTTCGCGACATGACAGAGAAACGAACCTATTTTTCTTTCTTTTATCGTATAGGGGGGCAACCGAACAGACAGGTCACCTGATGGTAAGTGACTACCGCGGCCCATGGACACTTGCAGCTCAAGAGCCGCAATCACCTTCCCCACAATCACCCCTTCACGCGGTGATAAGCGATGAAACTACTATTTAACAGTGATTTTCTGTGAGGCCGTAGTATCACTCCGTCCATACTAGGTATAATTAACCCTTAACAGTACCTCGAAAAAATACCAACTACCTCAAAAAAATATTTGTTATTCGAGCCAGTAGATCTGTAAATGACATGCATAAATTGGGTAGCGAGTTTGAGCTCTTCAGACCCAGACCTTCAGATTTTAAAGACAATGCATGCTTCAAAATTGTTTTCTAAGCCCATTATCAGGAGCGTGACATTTTCTTAGTCCAAGTATTTCTTTTTTCTTTTTGTTTTCAAAAATCTGTTATTCCTATTAGGTTCTGTTAATTTGTTTTTTGAATAGTAATTTTTTTTTTGTTGTTGGTAAGTTATTTGAACTGTTGTTTTACACTTGGTATCTATTTGCGAATACCTGTGTATATCTTTGTTTTTACATTAATATAATGTTTACCTTACGTTATTTATGCTGTTGATATTCCGAACTAAATCAAATCAAAATCAAATAGTCGTCCACTGGTGATCCATACTCCCACGATTTAGTGAAACTGGATGTTTTGATTTCTAAGGAGATGTTTCTTGAACCGTAAGCAAACCGCTAACACGGCCGATGTAATTTACGGGTTCGAACCTGCAACTGTATTATTTTTCTGCGGTTTTGTGGTTAGTGTATGGAGCCGATACTTTAAGTGTTTTAACCGTATATTACTAATTGTTTAAGTAACTGTGTATAGAGATGTTAAGAAGATGATCTTACGCAGTCCGTCTCGGGTCGATGGCCTGCGAGGGGTAGCATCCCTCCATGTAGGCCTCGATGTCCAAGTCTTCGATGAAGCCTGGACCTGAAATGGCAAAATAAATTACTGTTCCTGTTTCTTAAATTCGACGACACTTTAAATACAGCATACTGATTTAGGAATCGAATAATTATATTTACGTATTTAAATATCCACAATAAAATTATACTATCACGTTGAACGTTGATACCATATAATATTTCTTTAGGTGGACCTGTTGGTCTACTAGGTAAAGATATTGGACTGCTTAGCCAGAGGTCGTGGGTTCGAAATGTACCCAGGACAAATAGTTGTGTTATGATCATTTGTTCTGTGTCTTGGTATAATAATAATAATATTAATATTCATTTACACAACATTCACACAACGCCATCTAGTCCGAAACTAAGCAGAGCTTGTACTATGGGTACTAGACAACTGATATAAATACATATATATATATACTTATACTTATATACTTATTATACATAGAAACACCCAGACCAAGTGAAACAATAAATGAGCGGGAATCGAACCTGCGACCTTTGGAAAACCAGTCCGTTACACAAACCACTACGCCATCCGATCGTCCTCCGATCCGATAATATGTATGTATTTAGTAAAATATAAGTATGTTTATCAGCAGTCTGGTTACCATAGTACAGGCTAACTAGACTAGCTTTCCCTTGGTAAAAAAATTTAAAATTGGTTTAGTGGTTTAGGCGTGCAAGCGTAATAAACAAATTAACAAACTCACTTTCACATATCTATATCTATACAAATAAATAAAATTTGAGTGTCTGTTTGTAATATTAAAATAACAGCTTTTTACTAAACGCATATGTATGTTTACACGGTACATATGCCAAAATAACATTTTTTACAATTTTTGTCTGTTTGTCTGTCTGCTTGTTCCGGGTAATCTCTGGAACGGCTGGACCGATTTCGACGGGACTTTCACTGGCAGATAGCTGATGACATAAGGAGTAACTTAGGCTACTTTTTTTAGACTAGCCCGCGGCGTTGCCCGCGGTTATAACAACAAAAGCGGGTAACACCGCGGGTCTCAGCTAGTATGATATAAGTAGATATGGATTAAGCTTTGTGATTGCGCAGTTTTGATGAGAAATAAATAAATTATTATTATAATTTTCTTAATGGTTTTTAATTGGAAGCAATGCCTTGTATCCGTTCGTTTAATATTGTACTCGTATATTGTACATCAACTTACGACGTATTCTTCGTTGACATTTGTGCTTCATACTAGCTAAGCAAATTCAAGTTACACACAACATAACACTAGTAGTTACTATATCACTATCAATACCATATGTATAAAAAAATTAGATCTTAAGCAAAACATAGCGAAATAGATCATAACACATTTAAAGAAGTAAGGAAATCTGTTCAGCAATTTCCGAGATGTACACCCACACACGTCACACACTGACACTTTCACAGTAGTAATATACAGAGACTTTTTTGCTGCATCAGCAACCCACGACACGAGTGAACAATAGCGATTGCAACGCGCGACTGGTTACAACTACCTCCGCGTTCTTCGCTCAGTGACCGACACACGCGCTGTACAATTTCTATTTCTATTTGTTTATACCGTGTGGTGACGGATGGTCCGTGTGGTGACGGATTAAGAATACAGAGTGTCACCACCCCTATTCATCCCGTGGGTGTCGTAAGAGCCGACTAAGGGAAAAAACTACGCAGGACAACAGCACTGCAGAGAGAAGGAAAACTTGACACAAACCCTATACCAACCCGTCTGGCCAGCGTGGTATAGTAGGCCAAAACCTCCTTTCTAAGGAGAGGCTTATGTCCAGCAGTGGACTCTTAAAGGCTGTTGATGATGATGATGATGATGATTTGTTTATTTCTATTTATTCTTTATTGTACACACTGAACACATACATATATATAAGTAACAAGGAAATGTCATGGTACAAAGGCGAGCTTAACCCAAAACTGAGTTTTCTTTCAGCAAACCTTGAGCGAATAGAGGACAACAGAGAGACGTAAGGGGACAGTTATGCGTACTTAGGAATCAACATATAAAAGCATAAAAATTAAACAATAACCGACATTAATTAGTATAGTAAAATATATTATACGTATAAATACATATATACAACATACATACATACATACATACCAAGGTTCTGATTTTTGAAAGGTCAGATAATTTCTCTAAGTTTTAAGAAATAAAAACTAATAAGATAGTGTTGAAAGAAATAACCGGTGTTAAGTAGCCCAAAACCCCTTCCCCTGATATGATCATACAAACATACACACACACAGAAACAAACGCACCAAAATGCATTGACTAACAAAACTGAGCGGATGTGAATCCTGAAGTCCTGAAATTCACGCCTGGACTTAGTTTGGGTCCAGTCTACCCAAAACTATAACTTTTATCTTTGTACCAATATTTATAAATAGTGGTGAAAATGAACACAATCACACACACACACACACCAATATGTGGGTATTGGTGTGTGTTCATACGAACATACACACACACAGAAACAAACGCACCACAATGCATTGACTAACAAAACCGAGCGGGTGTGAATCATTGGAGTCCTGACTAACATGGCTGGATCTATGTAGTTTAGGCACCAGTCTACCCAAAACTATAACTTTTAACTTTGTACCAATATTTATATTGGTGGTGGAAATAAACAAAATCACACACACACACACACACACACACCAATACCCACACACACGAACATACTCACACACACAGAAACAAACGCACCACAATGCATTGACTAACAAACCCGAGCGGATGTGAATCCTGAAGTCCTGACTAACACTCCTTGATCTAGTTTAGGCTCCAGTCTACCCAAAACTATAACTTTTATCTTTGTAGCAATATTTATAAATGGTGGTGCAAATGAACAAATTTTTAAAAATGCGACACCTTAACAAATAATGGAACTCTTCAGCTCTATTACATTTGTATACAATGATATTATACACAAACAAGAGATATGAAACCAACGCACAAAAAACAGAAACGCGGGGTCCTAATTAGGACCACTGCGAGGGAGCGTACTTACTAATTAGTTCGAGAAAATTCATAAAATGCCGTCCTGTGTTTTCCGAAAGTGCACAAATTACGACAAAAAGGTAAATAAAGATAAAGGCATATCATACCACAGGTAAGTGTATGTTTTGTTATAAAAATCATAATAGATGTATGTATGTACGGTTACGGAACAAATATTTTGTGTGTGCCGCATGAATATAACGAACCTTCCGTAAACCGAACCGAACCGTATATAAAAAAAGCCGTGTGGTGTCGTGGGACACCCGATAGGAACGAAGTTGTGACGATCGAGTAAAACTGATTTGACACGATTTTAATTACAACGCCATCTATGAAAGCGGCTATTACCTACATATTAAAAACAATTAAAACAATTTATACATTGGTAAAATCTCCTTGCGAAATGATTTCCTATCTATTCGATAGATGGCGCTGAATGTCTGACAAGATGACACGAAAATAAAGAGCAAAAAGCCAACATCACGTGGTATTCTCAGGCGGTCACCCATCCAAGTACTAACCACGCCCGATGTTGCTTAACTTCGGTGATCGGACGAGAACCGGTGTATTCAACATGGTATGGAAGTTGGCGAACGTTAAAGCAAATTAAATGTATGGTATCCACAGTTTAAAAAGTGTCGTGACAAATTTTCGTACGAATTTTTTCCGTCTTTCTTTCCCTTTCACAACGCGCGATAAGGAACTTCGTTCCAAAAATCCTTTTGAAAAGAAGTTGAACCGACTTCAAACAAAAGACTAACAAAGACCAACTAAACGCACTGCTCCAATGACACAGCAAGGTTTCGTAAGTAAACAAAAATATCATCGATGTAAACAATTTTGAGATTTTTGTTGATTTTGCAGAAACCGCTTGACCGATTTCAATAAAATCTAAATGGGACCACCTGGGAAGCATACCCTTTAAAACAAAAAAAGTAATTTTCCAAATCGGTTCAGGCGTCTTCGAGTAATCGGTAAAGATACATTAAAAAAAAGATTCCGACAAATTAAGTATCTCCTCCATTATGGAAGTCGGTTAAAAATATATACTTGGCCAAAAAGAAATTGCTCGAATTCATATTTTTTCCCTAATTGCTTTATTATAACAATACTAGCTTTCGCCCTTGGCTCCGCCCGCGTAAAGTCTTGTAAGTAAAAAGTAGCCTATATTACTCGCTAATAATTTAGCTTTCCATTGGTGAAAGACTTAAAAAATCGGTTTAGTGGTTTAGACGGGAAAGCGTACCAAACAAACAGTCACTTTCACATTTATAATAAGTATAAGTATGGGTTACATAACAGGGTCTTGCATGATATTTAAATAGTTAAGAAGAATTAGAAATGTTAAAATGCAGTTATAAAAACTTCATGTACAAACAGTATTAAATATGCAATTACTGACTTAATTTTATGTGAATAATAATGCAATACTTCTGCTTGCAAGAAATGTATGCAATTTTGCCGGCGCGGTATTAATAATTTTTTAATGTTTGGATAACACACAAAATTTTATTTCCTAACAATGACAACATTGTAGTAAACTAAAAAGTAGGCTATGTTACTCGCTGATAATGTGGCTTTCCATTGGTGAAAGAATTATTAAAATCGGTTAAGTGGTTGAGGCGTGAAAGCGTAAAAAACAAAAATAAACAAATTTACTTTCACATTTATTATATAAGTATGGATTATTATTTTTTATTTATTTATTTTATGTTAGAGGGGGCAGACCATCGCAGCCCATGAACGTCTGCAACTCAGGAGGCCTTTTAAAGTCGTATCGGTCCGGAAAATAATATTTAAATATCTTTTATTACAGGATACATTTACATAAATATTAAGTTGACGAATTCCCAAATCGGTTCATAAATAATGATAATATTTTGGGACATTTGACACACAATGCCATCTAGTTTCTAACTAATCAGAGCTTGTACTATGAAAGCTAGATTCACGAATAGAATCCCTATATACTTTTTTTTACTAAATATATACGTATAATATGTATGTATTTAGTAAGGAAATAGAAAACACCCAAACTCAGAAACAAATATTTGCAGATCATACAAACATTTGGTCCGACCTCAGCACAGCATACGCTACCACTGCACCATCGAGGCACTTCTAAAACAATTAAAAAAAATTGACGGGGTTCCTGAGGTAACAAAAAATAATTCAACCGAATTAGGAACCTTCTTCCTTTTGTAGTTAAAAATTGCATTTATCCCTTTTCTATAATTAAACTTCAAAATGTTCAGAATTCTTCGTTAGATTAAATTATTTTGCCAAACATAACATACGAATGAGTGTAAATTCGCCCGTGACTCCGCCCTCGTATAAGTCGGTTATAGCGGTAAAAAATTGTCAATGTTACTCGCTGATAAAGTAGCTCTCCATCGGTAAAATAAAGTTTAAAATTGGTTTAGTGATTTAGGCGTAAAAGCGTAAAAAACAAACAAACTCTGTATGATATTCTAGCTTTTACCCGCGGATCCACCTGGCTGTAGGAGCTGGTTATTTTATGGATTTTTTTATTACACGAAGAAGACTGACTTGAAATTTTAGCAGCTGATGCTTTTTATGTTGTAAGCACCCACTAAGAAAGAATTTTTTTAATATTTCAACTACTTTTTTTTAGGGCTATTTATATTGTAAGGGATGATATCCTTGTGGTGACGGATTAATGATGGACGGATAATATGTATGTATTTAAAAATAGATATAATTATGTTTATCAGTAATCTGGTTACCATAGTACAGGTTCTGCCTAGTTTGGGATTATACAGCCGTGTGTGAGATGTGTGAGGTTATTATTATTATTTAGATATATTTAACATTATTTCTTATTGATTATTTAACATCTCTATTCATCCCGTGGGTGTCGTAAGAGCCGACTAAGGGAGCAAACTACGCAGGACAACAGCACTGCTAAGAGTAGGAAAACTTAAAACAAACCCTATACCAACCCGTCTGGCCAGCGTGGTAAAGTAGGCCAAAACCTCCAGGAGAGACCTACGTCCAGCAGTGGACTGATATAGGCCTGTTATAGGACTATTGATAATTGATGAAGGGCTGATTGGTTGTTAGTTATTTTCAAAGTTAGAAAAACGAAATAATAAATTATGACGCGAGCAAAGCCGTGACCAGTACCTAGTAGATCATATATTTAGAGTTAGCCACTACTATGTAATAGTA